GGTAACAAGTGCTGAAGATCTCATTTGCATGTACCCCATGTATCTTGACAATACTAGAAATTTGATTTTTTTAAAATTTCATGGACCTTATTAGTGAGTATATAAATATACTCCAATATTCTTCCTGGAGTCCTACAAATTCAAGTTAAAAGTTAAAAATACATTCTCCTACAAACCTACAAAAAGCGTACGTACACTTATTATAACACGCAGTGTACTTACAACCGGCAACTGTTACTCAACCTTTTTTAACCAGCCTATATACAACAAATGAATCTAAAAGGGGGAAATTGGCAATCAGCAATCAGCAATGCTGCAGTGATCTCTTTGTGTACGTTTGTAAATAGCTACATATTTTTCCAGTTGTCTGAAGTTTCTTAAAATTAACAGTGTGCTTGTGTGAAGGGTTTTGTTAAGTCTGGTCCAGTGGAATCTATTGTGCAGTTTGTGGATCTAACATTAAACTCAGCAGTTATACAGGCCTAGCCGCCGGGTTTTGCCGAATCTGCAAACTATTCTGTTTGTGTACGTTTGTGTTTTCAGCCTGTCCTTGATGAAACGGGTGTTGTGTTCATGTGTGCTTATTAAAGTAACCTTTTGTAAATAGCTAGAAGGCAACATCAGTAATCAGAGCCAGTTTTGACCCCACTGGATCAAGATTAAATTTTATAGGATAACTCAATCATCAATGTTATATATACAAACAAACTCATAGAAGGAATTTCGTTTTCGACAATAGATGTACAACATGTCACAGTGATAGCGAGCCAAAATGCCAGCTTTTTTTTTAGAAGCACTTATTTTATTTATTTATTTATTTCATTTTCACACACCTGGGTAGCCCAACACAGCTTTGACAAGTTGATTTTCAGTGGGGCCCAGTTTACAGAAATAATAAAACATAAGTTAATACTTGAACAGAAGTAACAGAGAATTGTATGTACAACATAAATAACTCAGGTAACCAAATTATACAAAATAAATACATGAGATTTCACTTGTTTCACTCTACAGCCCTACGATGTCAGACTGGATGGAGCAAGTACAACAACCACTGCTACAAGCTCATGAAAGACAAAGTCGGTTGGTATGAAGCGAAATCACGATGTGCAAAACACAGGGCAGTTCTGGCCTCCATCAAAGACGCGAACGAGAACAACTTCATCGCAGATCTCATCGTGAATGGTGGGTGACTTGTACATTATTTATGAATCTTAAAGACTTTGCAGGTACCAATTCGGGGTAATCAAAGGAAATGTTAACAGTATTATAAAGATAATGATTCTAAACAGGGTTCTTAGTGCTTCGGTCAATAGGAAAAATATTCTAAAGGACAACTTAACGTGACAACTCATATTCTTACCTAACCCATGTTTCTTTTGTCTTATACAAGTACAATACAGTAAGAATGTTCTTTCTACATGCACATGTTTTGTTTCAACCAACGGTAACCAGAGATTTAACCATATATATTGTTTCCCATCATTACTTGGACTTTGGCGTAAAATAATCATTGGATAATACTAAAAAAAAGACTAACCTCCATTAATTTTTTTTCTCCCAGGGATTATATAGAGGTGCCTGATTTTGTAAAAAAAAAGTGTGTTTGGGAAATCTCTAGTACAGCACCCAATGTATATGCAGTTCAAACAAACTAATAAACAAGAGTATATATATGGTCAAGTTGCATTTATGAGCTATAAAGATGCATTTTTCAGTGTGACCTACGAGAATTACATGGGGAACTAGATAGGTTATATTTGCCAAGCAAATGCATAATGTTTCCCTTTGCATATGGTCTGCTCTGTTAATTTTTTTAAACATATGGTGACAGGGGTCTAAATCCCTCCTGCTATAAAACTGCAACATGATGTAACCCAACACTTGTTACCATTATGACAGACGTCTGGTTCAAGTCACTGACCTTATTTGTTTGAGACGAAAAGAGAAAGCAGAGCAAAACAATATGTTTCCCTTGGTAAACATAATGACATGTTTGAATCTGTTTGAATCTGTTTGAATGAGAGCAAACATGCATAACATGTAGGACTGCTTTGTTTGATTGTAGCTCCTAAAGGTGCACTTGGATTTCCGCTGGTCTGGGTGGGCCTGTATAGACAATCTGGACAATTGAAGTGGACAGATGGGTCTCGTGTTGGATACAAGAACTGGAATCCCGGCGAGCCTGAAAACACCAGCATGAAAGAGGACTGTGTCAACATGCATTCAAAGGTTCGTCTTTTTTCTATTAAGGTCATGTTAATTTGATTATATGGATAGCATCCTCTGGGATCCCAAAACTGATGAGGGCGTGCGAATAAAAGAAACAAGTATGGCCAAAAAAGTTGCCTCCACTATAAAATCTACGTCGTCATGAAGATTGAACAATTGAGCATGGTTTGGCCAATAATAGACTGATTTTCATTTCTTTGCATATTCTTTGGCGCTCACTGGTTTCTTTAGACAGTAGGATGACCCCCCCCCCCAAGAAACATCCTGGCCACGGGCATGGAAATGCTTCTAAATATGCGTTGATTGAATGTGTAGATGCAAGGAAATTCTATTGCAGAAAATACAATTACCTTAATGTTCAACATCAACTGTATTATTTTCAACAGAACGCCAGGCATTTCTTTTTTTGGAGGAGGTATAAAGGGAAGTGGAACGACGCTAAATGCAACTGGAAATACCCCTTCGTATGCGAGAAACCAATGTAATGATAAATTTAATGACACAACTTGTTTTAGACACAATTTGCACAATTGCTGATGTCACGTTTTCATGGTCACTGGCGATGGCTTGATCACTCATTTTTAAAGAAGGCTACAGAAGGCTTATCGAAAATTTGATGTCTTTTGTTATGAATCAAACATAGATTTGTGTTATGCTTGAAAAATTGTACATTACAACACCAGTAAACTTTTAATGTAAACTTAGCAAATTGCAAAGGGAGATTGTGTATGTAAAATATACACTCGCACTGAACATAGACTGTGAAAATTGACTGTGCCTGTATAGTTGACTTTTTTTTGCTAATGGGTCACAGGGCACATGTGTATATTTTGTATCATGTATGCTGTGTGTCATTAGTATTTGCTTGGGTGATTAGAGTTATAAACCATTCAGACAAAACTTGGTAAAACCCTGCAATGTCAAAGCTGATGAGGAGGTTTTGAAACAAGTATTACATACAAGTGATATTTTTTCTTGAGTTGTTCAGATGTTCAGATTGACACAAGTGTTGTTTTTAATTTCGTCTTATTAATGCATTATTTTAGAGTTAAGATTATTTATCACGCATTAATCTACAAATGATTTCCCCATTAGCCACCACAACTTGTAACATGACACATGTAAGAGTGACAAAGGTTTTAACTGCAAATAGAGAAAAGACTGTAGCAAAATCTCGATGTTTCATCAAGCTTAATCATCAAAATATCAGTGCATGAAAAATAGTATGATATGAAAAAAGTATGAAGTATAAATGAGTTTATATAGCAGTTAATTCAGTATACATGGGGAATGATGAATGATTTGGGTCTTGTATCATGTGTGTGACAAGTAGTTGCTTGGATGATTAGAGTTGTGGAATTATAAATCCTAAAATAGCAAATGTGATGAGAATGTTCTGAAACTAGACAGTAGACCATATATAAGTGACATAGTTTTCTTGACGTCGGATTTAGAACATTTACACAAGTATTGTATTTGATTTCATCTTATTAATGCGTTCTTAAAGAGTTAAGAATTTGTATCACACGTGTACAAAGAATTTCAAAATTTTCTAACAACGTGAAAACGACACGTAAGAGTGACAAAAGGGTTTCAACTGCAAATAGGGAAAGGACTGTAGCAATAACTAAAGGGTCAACCAAGCTTAATTAAGAAAATATCAGTGCATAAAAAAATTATGAGATGAAGAAAGCATGATTTGTAAATGTGTTTATATGGCAATAGAATTAGTATGCATCTTTCTATGCTTACATAATTTTTTTTTGCGCTAGTGTTGTACCTTTAGTTCTAATGAAGAAAACGCAACAGAAATATTTGTCAAGATGTAGTTTGACATTCGAAACGTCTGCAAGTCAAAGAGACGAGAGCAAATGGTTGGATTGGTGAGTGGCACATGATCGTATGTAGAGTAAATTTGCCAACAGAAACAACGTGCTAGGTGTCGTAGTGTCACGCATTCTGCATTTGATTTAGTGAGTAAAATAAAAATGACAAAAAGCACAATTGCCTGTCTTAATCGCTCTTCTTGCTACCGAAGTACCTACTTACCTTGTCCCTTGACCACCTGGTCTTTGGGGGGACAAGACAGAAGCGAGGATGGACATCTGTCTTCAAACCTCTGTCTCTTGCAGCGGTCAGCCTTTAGGACGGGTTCAGCATCGTCACCTCTGTAATGTTGTCCTGCCAGGACTTTCTCTGTCGTCCTTGACGGAGTCTCATACACTTCCTAGCGGCCAGCCATAAACACAGGCTGCCCTTTGTTAGAAGCACGCTAGGTGCGTTTTCGTGTGTGTGAAAGAAAGCTAGACTACGATCCAAATCCAAAAACGTGCAACACGCACACACACACACACACACACACACACACACACACACACACACACACACACGCACACACACACACACACATTTTCTCTGTACAAAACCATGTACAGAGAAAAACAGACAGAGAGGGTCGAAGAGAGACACAGAGAGAGGGAGAGAAAGAAAGAGGAAGAGTTAAAGTATAACGTTAACACGCTAGACTAAGAACCAAACCTAAAACATGCAATCATATGCACGTACGCAGACATAATATTGAGCAATAAAATTCTCACAGCCGCGGTTCACACTTTGAATGAATGTTAAGTAGAATGGAGGCCTTTTTTCTTAGAATTCAGCTCGCTCGCAATTCTTATTCTGCCATACTTAAAGCGGTAATTTTCGTTGACATGTGTCAGTTAAATGAATAAAATATTAGCGGTGTTTATGAATGTATATATATCATACTCTCCAAGCAGAGGTTGTGGGGGAATGATCGTTACCTTTTTATATATGGCCGTTTTTTTTGTCCTGACCCCCACCGACGGTGGCCGCGGACCTTCTCTGGCTAATGGATACTGCCTGGACAATTTGATACTGTCTTTTTGCCACCGATAGGGATCTGCTTGGAGATTATATATATCGTAGTCTTTTCTTAAGTGCTAGTCTTTTTCAAACTGACTGGGGAGGGTGTACAGTTGTTTCAATGCTTCTAATTAGTCTGGTTGCGTCTTTCGTTACCCAGGACGAGTTTATATATGCCGTCCGTATTTCTGCCTGTAATTTAAAAATCACAACAGCCACGCACACGTCCATTTCGAGATTTCTGTTGCAAGCGTTGTCAGTCAACAGACTAAGTTCTATTGCTAATTAATTTTTTCTCGTATTGATATCTGTGATATTTCTTGGGTCTTGTTTTTCTTAAATCCAGCCACTAGTCTCCCCCAGAGCTACAGCTAGCTACAAGATTGTTATTCTCGGTCAAAAATCACCAGGTAGGGCTCATTTGCCAGGCGGGGGAGAAGTTCAAAGCGGTCAAGCAAACGTACCCTACATCTTCCTTGGTAACAACTGTTAGTTTGGTTTTTCGTCTTCTAGTCTATTGACCAGACATCATTATAAAATTCCTCTTGATTTTATATCAAGGCCGAATGACGTAAATTTGTAACGGCACTTTTTCCCATTGTAGGGTGTGTCCCTATCTCTGAATACTTAGGACGTCAACACGTATAATAACCAACCACTTTTGAGGTCACGGCCTGATAACCAATGGTGAATGGAGCCTTCTGATTGGTTTGCGTCCTCTGGCTATATGGTAATCAAACCTATACTGCCTTACAAGTGGCGTCTATTGTTACAATGTATATTATACTTTGCAAAATGCAAATACTAGCTTTACAACGTCATTTTAAATATAGAATTTTAATATTTCACCACTTCATAAGTAGTCAAAACACACAGAGATACCTCCAGCAGGTAACATAATACACATGTGACCAGACAAAATGACACACAGGACCAGAAGGCCGTGTGCTTGAATCCCAGGCAGCTGCTTGCGTGCTATTGGAAATAGTCCGTACAATTAAAAAAAGATAAAGCCGTTGAATCTTTTCAAACTGGATAAATTGAAATTTTGATACGTAAACGTTTCAGTACAAATGGATCAGTACAAATACAATTTATCCAGTTTGAGAAGATTCAACGGCTTTATCACTTTATCTTTATCCTGGATGATTAACCTTCAGCAACGTAGTCCTTACAATTGGGTGAGTACCCGTGGTCCACTAGTACTGCTCACTACAATCCTCACAAGGGTGAGAAACTTGTACCATTACATTTACTTTCCGCATATTACTTTCTTCTTATTTCAGCAGCTAGTTGCAGGCGACTGTTTTTTCCAGTCCAGTCTGTTTTCAGCGAGGTTGGACATCTGCTTTGGTAGAAAATAGCCATTGCAGTCTCGGAGAAGGCCCGTGCGTGTACTGCAGGTACGTGGTTTGCTGGTGACATCGTCTGAGCCTGCCGTGAGAAGGGACGCAGGGGCATAGAGCTTGACCGCTTCTTTCCCGGGCATGCAGAAAATGCATGCTGAGTATGTTAGTTTTTTTTACGACCAGCCGAATACTAATCTAGCTGATTAGGTGCCAAACTGGATGAATAGACATTCCTATTGCAGATTGTCACCGAAAATACCTTTGTATCCTAAAAGTTAGACAAGATTATCGATCTGGGTTCTCTCCCATATGTTACCGGTCCTCTAAGTAATGTAAGTGTTGCTTCCGAACTTACCCTGCTGCTAAAAGAATTCAAAACTTTAAGTATAACAATAGCCACAGCTAGGACATGTAGGGTCCAGTTCAAAGAATGTCAACACTTTTCAGACATGTCTCTGGTAACATAAACATGTACGACCTTTGTAGTAATCATTGGAATATAGGGAGATCAAGAACAGGCAGATGATGAAGCATTTATGAAGGTGGCCATTATTATGCAGCTTTACAGCATGAACCGTTTATAAACCTGTTCAGACGAAAACGATGGAAGCGCATTCGATCGTGCTTCAACAGAAGCAGAATCTAAACGCCCGAGCTAAACGCTCCAAATCGCATTGATGGCGCCTTTTTTATATTCCAACATTTCTTGACTAGACGTGGTGACAGCACACTCAAGTTATATCAACTTATTTTATGTCGCCACCAACGCAGAGGACGAATACAGGACAAGACAATACACGGGAAAGTCGTGTAAAGTGCCTTTCCTAAGAGCACAAGATCGGTGGCATGTCAGGACTCGAACCCGGGACCTCTTGGTTCCGAGTCGAGCACGCTGCCGCTACGCCACACGACCCCGCCTTTTAAACTGCCATCAAAACATTCCGACATCAGCCTGAACGCAATGTGATTTTACCGGCTTACTTTTATTAGTAACCCGGCCATGGCTCATTGGGTGTTATCTCTTTATTAAGTCGCAGCAGCAACTTGAAGAGCAGTAATGCCCGAATAATGTGCCCGTTCTTCCTCGAGCTTCACGGCGTCTGGTGGGACCACGTCGTCATTCAGCCGATGTACGCTGGGTCACCAGCAAGCAGGTCGTTGACGTCTGACATTGATACGACGCCAATTTGTGATTTTTCATCAAACAAAAATGAATGTAGTTAAGGCAAATCGTACGAAGGCCCATAGGTACACTTAGCATTTTTTATTCCACTTTGTATTTTCTATGGGTACTTTGTATTTTCTATGGGTACTTTGTATTTTCTATGGGCACTTTGTATTTTCTATGGGCACTTTGTATTTTCTATGGGCACTTTGTATTTTCTATGGGCACTTTGTATTTTCTATGGGCACTTTGTATTTTCTATGGGTACTTGTTTTTTCCTGTGTGTACTTCGCGAAGTTTTTTGGTGGCTGGCGAAGCGACATTCATTTTGCTTTGATGTGGATGCTCCCATTTTTATTATGGCGGTATATTTCTATTTACCATTCTAGGCAACTAAATTTATTTTAAACCTATTAAAACATAATATACTTTACACTTTGAGAAAATTTTGTTTGTTTTGCATGCAATGTTCCACACGTTTATTAATTAGGAGTATCAAATAGTGATTATTACATCCTGGCATAGATTATGTTAATGTAGACACAGGACCATACTATTTTCGGGGGTGCTAGGACATATTGTTCAGACTTCCGTCAACATTCCGTAGCGATATATGGTAAATCACTTCCTCGCTGAATGTAAATTACTCCTTTGTATTAAAAAAAGCCCGTAATCTAAAGCGAGGGTTCATTGCCAATGTTGGGAAAAAATTGTATTGCGGTTTGCTGCCCTCCTACCAACCGCGAACGTTCATCACATGCAGTTTACGTAGGAAATATGGACAATATGCCGTTTCAGTAAATAACCTGACATCTAAAATTGTTGAAATATTCACAGAAACTCAAATTACACTCTAGGTTGACCGTCTAATCGTGTGGTAAGCTACATGTGTGCTGTAGTGACATGAATTGGCACTTTTGTGGGGAGGGGGGCGTCCCAACAAAGGTCAACGACCTCCATGGCTTACGGCCTATGTTTCACGCTTTTGCACTTCATAAATGAACAATTTTAGATGTCAGGTTATTTACTGAAACGGCATATTGTCCACATTTCCTGCGTAAACTGCATGTGATGAACGTTCGCGGTTGGTAGGAGGGCAGCAAACCGCAATGCAATTTTTCCCCAACATTGGCAATGAACCCTCGCTTTAGATTACGGGCTTTTTTTAATACAAATGAGTAATTAACATTCAGCGAGGAAGTGATTTACCATATATCGCTACGGAAATGTTGACGGAAGTCTGAACAATATGTCCTAGCACCCCCGAAAATAGTATGGTCCTGTGTCTACATTAACATAATCTATGCCAGGATGTAATAATCACTATTTGATACTCCTAATTAATAAACGTGTGGAACATTGCATGCAAAACAAACAAAATTTTCTCAAAGTGTAAAGTATATTATGTTTTAATAGGTTTAAAATAAATTTAGTTGCCTAGAATGGTAAATAGAAATATACCGCCATAATAAAAATGGGAGCATCCACATCAAAGCAAAATGAATGTCGCTTCGCCAGCCACCAAATAAACTTCGCGAAGTACACACAGAAAAAAACAAGTACCCATAGAAAATACAAAGTGCCCATAGAAAATACAAAGTGCCCATAGAAAATACAAAGTGCCCATAGAAAATACAAAGTGCCCATAGAAAATACAAAGTGCCCATAGAAAATACAAAGTGCCCATAGAAAATACAAAGTGCCCACAGAAAAAAACAAGTACCCATAGAAAATACAAAGTGCCCATAGAAAATACAAAGTACCCATAGAAAATACTAAGTACCCACAGAAAAAAACAAGTACCCATAGAAAATACAAAGTGCCCATAGAAAATACAAAGTGGAATAAAAAATGCTAAGTGTACCTATGGGCCTTCCTAAAATCGTGCTTGGGCACGATTTCTAAGGAACGTTTGGCACGTGGACCAGATGTGAGATATGCGATTTACCCAAATCGTGGCTCTAGCGTTTTCATCTGAACAGGGCCTAAATCAGTTGACAAAGGAAATATAACACGCATAAAATGTAGACAGTATTGTATCCATTCAAAAAAAATGTAATTATCTTAAAACACTTAACCTGATTTATATTATCAGCACTATTTTGTTTCTATAGATTTTACCTGCTTTTAGTCGGACCATGAAGGAGATTAGTGGGACAAGCCTAAAAATGCAAGATGTATGTTGTGGACTACATAAAACAAGTAGTGTGAAATTGTTTAATAAGTGATAAAGAGTTTGGCCAATCTGTAGAGAAACCAGACATAACCTACGTTGTTTTTATTTATAAATTCCAGTAAGCCTTAAGCACTACATTTATAATTTCAAGGCTTTAGGAATAATACGTTCACTATACATCAGCACCTTCTATATCCTAGATAATGTAATTGGCAACACAGCATCCATATAGAACATCCGTAAAATTAACAACAGAATGTTGGCCCTATTATTTTAAAAGAGGTCTGTAAAATTTTGGTTCACCTCAAAAATTCATTTTATGAGCTAGAATTTAATATATATAGTCTCCATATTTGATTCACCTTCCAGATTTCTGGTATCATCATTTTCTCTTAATATTAGCCAAGTATATGCATGTACGAAAATGGATTCATCTTGAAAAATGCAATGTTTGAAATGTGCCTTTCAAAACATTAAACGTTTATAACATTTTTTTTCTTTTTAAGACATTTTATATATGCTCCCGCATAAAAACATTACATTTAAGATCCGTAACTTTGCATTAAGAAACTTTTGTTTGAACGATTTAAAAGTTTTAAAAGAAATAAAAAATTAGTAATGATTGAGAAAACGTAGAACAAATAGTCAGATACAACATGTTCTTGATCTGTACCTTAAAAAAAATTAATAACTATGCAAGTGGTAACTTGGTTTGCATAATTGGTAGCTTTTGACGTCACATATTTGAAAGTTTAATCACAGACCTGTGACGGAACGGAATGGTTTCCTCATTTATTATACAATCTATCTTCTGTTGTGCATTATCATTCCATTTAATAACGTGCATCTTTACCATTTGTTCCCGACATTAAAAGCTATCAGCCACCAAAAAATCAGGACCATAGCATGCTAGGGAAAAATATTTTAAAGCAAAATCAGAAGTTCTGATTTAGTACCAACATTTTTTGTCGTTCCATCGGCAAACATAACAAATATCATAACTATCCATAAAGGCTTTCTTAAGTTATGCTCACTACAAATATGCACAAACACACACAGACAAAAATATTCCTCCGTTTTGCATTGTCTAAAGCTGCCCGGGGCCTTAACCCTGCGCCATTACCTTACGACCCCCGAGAGCTATTTTAGAAAAGCACGTCTAAAGCATGTCGAGACAAGCTTCAAAGACTAAAAATCTTGCGGCAGTACCTTACAAGCTACATGCACAAGCATACCAAATACCATGAACATTCACCCAGAGCTTTGAGAGTTACCCTGCAAGTAAACAAATAAACAGAGACACAGAAAACAATATAGGGGAAGATAAAAATCGACTAATAGATGGTATTTGCCACTATATTTGGTTCTACTGCGCAATATTGTCATTTATTGTCACAAAAAATTTAGAGTTTAGAACACGCCAAAATTTGCTTCTTTGAATTATCACTTATGGTTGTCTCATCAAAAACAGCTTTTTAACATTTCATCGACGCCAAAAACGTTTAGACGTCTGTAAAGTTGTTAAAAATTTTCTAAGATGAAATTTGGACAGAATCGACAAATTTGAAGCATTTGTTCCTCGAGGTTCAGACTTTGCAACTTCAACAATAACTGTAATAAAGTGCAGGCATGTGGCTGACTAGGATGAGACGAACTAAATACACAAAAGATTAAACACAAAAAAAGAAAACTCATAACAGAAACAACGTGCAAAGTTATCCATGGCAATCAAATGGTATAATAGTGATCGTATATTTGGAGATATAAGTAAAGTGGACTTTTCGAAAGTTTGTATTTGGTATGTCGTTTTTAAGTTTTAATAAAAAATGTTTTGTAATCAGTAGGGTATATTTTAGTGAAGACACTGACAGGACAAATAATTGTTTAAAAAAAATCAGTCTTCACTCTTTATATTTGTTTAATTTCATGTAAGCTAAACTTATCTAGTCCTTGCCCATTTTTGTTTTAATTTCTTACAAAATATTTGAATTATTCTTTTGCATATATTCAAGTTTTAAAACATAGACTTGAAATAACATGCATTATCCTGTTGAAACAAGTGTTTTAAACGGCCAATTTCAAATAAGACAAAGTTTCCCTTTCCCTTTGTGGACCTTTTAGCACTTATTTTTTCGCACAGGTATTTTTTCACCTTCGTACAAAAATGATTGCAATATTGAGTGGAACATATTAACATATTCAAATCTTGGAAGGGTGGTGTTACTCAGTGACTAATCCCATCAGCAGGGGCCGGATCATAGCTGTTTGTCTCAGGGTACTCTGTAGTGTTGTTTATTGCCTCTCTACGCTCGTTCTGGCAGTATGCAGCTGCCGGGGACCGACCAGCACCAGTCGCAGGGGAGGGGCAGATGTAACTGTTTTCCCGGCTTGTGGCGGGCTGACTGCGGTGATTTTCATCATAGACGGCGGACGGAGTGTCCGTCTCACTTCTGCGCGGGGTAGCAGGGTCATAGCTACTGGCCATTGGAGACGCTACGGAGTTACAGACCGTCGCAATAGTGTCATGCTGGCCATAGGTGTTAGACAGGGTACGGTCAGGGTTAGCGACAGGGGAGTTGTAGCAACGTGCCTTACGGGAACGCTTAGCGGCGCTGGCATTATGCTGATAGGCAGGGGACGTGGTTGCACCCGGGGTTAGGGAGGATAGATGGGTGCTGGTAGCAGGTTTTGCCTGAGTTATTGCCACCGGTTTTACCATAGCCATAGGTTGTTGACAGGATACGGTCTGGGTTAGTGGCAGGGGGGTTGTAGCAAGGTGCCTTGCGGGAACGTTTAGCGGCGCTGGCATTCTGCTGGTAGGTAGGGGACGTGGTTGCACCCGGGTTGGGGAGGATAGATGGGTGCTGGTAGCAGGTTTTGCCTGACTTATCGCCAGCGTTTTGACCATAGCCAGTTACAACTGCCCCTTCCTTGTTTGGTGTCTGACGGGGACGCTCGGCTCTGTACGGGCGGGACGGCACGGGGTGTGTGTGCGCGCGGGGGCGGCCTGGGTACGCTGCGCAAAGCTTGGCCTGTCCGTACGGAACAGCATCTGACTGAGAAGAACCGGCCCTGCGCAAGTCAGGGTGGTCTTGGAAACCACCTTCAGCGTAAGGGCTGATGACTGATTCTGACTCATTTAAGCTGTCGTGATCCTCGAAACGACCTTCAGCGTACGGACTGATCACTGGCTCATCCAAGTTGCCAACTGGCCACTTAGAACAGACAAAGACCTCATTGCCATTGCGAGGTGAACCTGTGCTGTTATCTGGAGATTTGCGTCCGAGCCTACGCTTGATACACCTGACACAGAACAGAACCCCGGGCCCCACCGCAACAGCCGGCAACCAGATAACAGATGACAACACTATGTTCCATGTGCAGATACCCCCTTCATAAGCATCATCACTTGTGATGGTGGTCAGTAGTGTAGTGCTGATGCCGGTGGGCACCGGTGGTGTGCTCATGGTGGTTGAGAATGGTGAGGTGTTGATGAGTGAGGGTTCTGTTGCCTGGAGTGTTGTGCCTTCACTTGTCATGAAAACCACAGTGTCAGACCCAGTTTCCGAAGAAACCGTACAAGTGGTGTTTCCAAAGGACAAGGGCTCGGTGGTCTCAAGCCAAAGGGTGAAGCTGGACCTCCCCATGTAGTTAGAACACAGGCTGTCATTTCCTGAACCCCCCAATAGGTTATTTGCTGGTCCCTTACATTTCACCCAGCCCTCAGCCTTTAGTTCGGTCACCACTCTCACGGTTAGGTTGCCTGTCGGCAGAGTAGCGTATGTTTTCGTGTTTGTGTCGTACGTAATGTCGTGTGTGTGTCGTGAGT